GGTGGGATCTGCACACAGGATTAGGTGGGGTCTGACCTACCCTGATGTAGAAAGCCCCTGCAGTCTGAATTCGGTCTGTCACTTGCACGCCTTTCTGCTTTCCTAGCTGACAGGTGGATCCCGATTGCCTGAGGACGAAAACAGAAACCAGGAGTTTTATTGCTCGCAAGACGGCAGCAGTCTGTCTTTGAGATATTTACACCCTGGGTCCCTGAACCTCCCCCTAATAAGCAGATGTCTCACCACAACACTGAGTTTCTCACTTTCGCTAATGACCATGAGGGTCTAGCCCAAGCCTGGGTAGACAACCTCCCGTTTACACTTCGAGCCTTTGAGCCCTTATGTATGAAACACAGCTTCCAAACAGGTGAAGCCGGTGCTCTAATAACCTGGAGCAAATGTAGCCGATTCGTTTTCTCCTGTTTCTGGAGCGTGTTGACACCGCCCTCTGGTGGCCGAATCCGGCTTTGACGCTCCAGATCCAGCTTCTCTGTGACACTTGCCCAGTGTATGTGGTTTTAACGCCATCAACCTCTCTCAAGGCTTCGCAGTGTTGCCTCCCTACAGCTGCCTGATCCAACTGGTGAAGTGATTCGATTAGTGAAAGGAGCGGGTGAATCCCCAGGTGTGAGCTATTTTTACAGATGATGCAGTCAGATCTACAGTATGATCTTAAGAAGCTGGATTTGTGAACTCCCATCCGGGATGAGTCTAGAAGGGCACACAGTTTCACCCGTGATGCTTTTGTGCTCCTAAGTGAAAAATGGATTCAACGCCGCCGAGGGGTGATGAGAAAGCTGACAGCAGACAAATATATCTGTGTCAAACACGAGAGACGCACGCTGTCTCAACAAGGCTGCAGCAGGGATATTTCTTCTCGAGGTTCGGGGGGCAGCAGTAACTCTGTACTGGGAGCAGTTAGGGCTCCTTCCCAGTCCTGCACTGAGCCCGAGCCTCCCTCCCTCTCTCCTCCTCTCCCCAGTAAACTGACCCAGGACAGCAGGATGGACAGCCCCATTCCCATCCTGCCTCTGCCCACCCCGGACGTGGAGACAGAGAAGCTGATCAAACTGAAGGACGAGGAGGTGAGTGTGGGGACAAGGGGTGTCTGTATCTCTGTGTCGGCATGTCTGTGTGTGTGTGTCAGCGTGTCTGTGTGTGCGTGTATGTCTCTGTGTGTGTGTCAGTGTGCGTGTATATCAGTGTGTGTAGATCAGTGTGTCTGTGTCAGCCTGTCCCTGTGTA